GTTCTATAATTGTGTCTACAAATACGGTACTCGACGAGTTAACACCTAAAAAACAAAATGTTTCAGGAAATATAACATTTTCCCAATAGTATTATCCAATAAGTTTTAAGTGGATAAATAGGTCGGCTCGACTGAAGTGATACATGCCTCACAAAAAACCACTGACGTACCACCGACTCTCGTGTGAGTCAGATTACCGGAGGCTCAATACAATACAATTGTTTGTTTATTTTCTTTCTATTGAAAAATAAAGAAAACATTTCTCAATTTTCATCGTCAAATGTACATTTAGCAAACATAAAAAAGTTACAAGCTTGGTATTAGTTTCAGTATTAAATCCTGTACACGCACAGGGTCCCCTGTAACACACACACACACACATGTAACCGCAGACGTAGGGGCGCCCCTCCCCTCCCCCTCACCGCTGCCTGGTAGAGGCCAGACACTCGTTAATATTGTAATACAAGTCATTTGACTGTAACATACGTAACTGTTGCTGAACTGTGCGTCGCCTGCGTGAGGTGAACATAAGCCCACATGGCTTTTCCTTATTTTCTTCAAAGCCAAAGCATTTAATTCTATTTAACCACAAATGTACACGCCATAATTATTTATTTTTTTGTTTTAAGGGGGAGATTATCGAATAACTTCTCCCGCCGAGGTGAGACGAGAGGGAGTGTCAGACTTACTGACTAAAATCCACCCCGTTTCTTCTCCTACACTTCGAGCCGGACCACCGGCTATCACCCCTATTATATGGAACTCATAACATAAATACATGTAGTGTTACATTGTACAATTTCATTAAGTGCTGTAACGTGCACCTCTGCCTACCCCTTCGGGGGTAAAAGGCGTAATGTTCTCTTATGTTCAACAATAGTTGTCTTAATATAACACTTTCATTTTATTTCACACAGAAGACACACACACACACACACACACAAACAAATACTATTTGCACTTTCAAAATAAATCACCACTAACATAAAGTCATAAAAACAATTCTCACTCATACTCACTCACTCCCATACATACAACACACAGTACATACATATAGGTACAGCTCTCTCGCGAACACTAAAACGCGCGACAATTTTCAAAGTGATTTCGTTCGTCGCCGCGTGGTAATGATACGGGTAATGGTGGCGCCCTCTGTGTCACGTGAGTGAACTAAAGAATTACATCTAAAGTTAGAATGTTGGAGCTATTCTTAGCATACAGTCTCCGAGATTTACAAAGAGATATGCAGTAACTGGTGGTTGATTCTACTTTGCTTGGACTACCACAGAGACTGACCTCTGAGTTTTTTTTTATGAAAAGGAGCCAAACGAGCAGACGGATTACCTGATGGTAAGCGATCAGCGCCGTCAATAGACAGGTTGCCGGCCTTTTAAAAAGAAATATGCTCTTTTCTTGAAGGTTTGAAGGTCGTATCGGTTCGGAAATACCGCCGACGACAGATCATTCCACAATTGATTATGCTGTGCGAGATAGAAAGCATCGTGAGAAGCGCACAGCATTTGTTTCGGTGTTGCTTCTAAGAAAAATCTATATCCCCAAATATATCCCTTTAAGTCCCAAGTGTAAGTGTCGGGCAAGGGGTTTCAGGTTCCATTCCCGAGTCGGAAACTGTGCCCGGTATATGGCTTTAGGATCCTATAGGATAGGGTCCCTATTACATGGGACTCATAACATAAATAGTTACAAATGGGTGTTACATTGTACAGTGGCATTAAGTGCCGTTATGTGCACTTCTACCTACCCCTTCCAGGACAAAAGGCGTGATGTTATGTTATGTGTTACTCAATATAGTCATTATTGTAATCAAAGTTTCATTAACACTTCGTTCAAGGTACCTACACACATACATACACACGCGGCCACATTCCACGTCGCCACCTGCGCGCACACAGGTGTCGCGGCTTCTCACGGAACATAAACGTTATCACCATTGTAATATTGTAAACCGACATACTATCTACTAGATAACATATAATACTGTATGCATCGTACAATGTCTTTTTTATATATATTTGATGAGCCGACGTTTGACCACTATCTCGCCTGGTGGTGCACGATGATACGGTCTACGACGGAGCACGTCGTAACATAAGCAATCTATTCACTCGGGCCTTGAAGACACCCAGGTTATACCCTTCAGGATATACAGACTCTGGCAAAGAATTCCACTCCTTAGTAGTACGCACGAGGAAGCTTGATGCGAAGCGCTTCGTGCGTGTGGGTGGGACAATGTAAATATAGAGGTAATATCGCTAATATCTGTTCAAGAACTTCAGATATAAAATTATTAACACATGCGTGTTGCCAAAGGAACAGGTCCGCTTAAACTACTGTGGATCTTTTCTCAAAAGACCACTATAGAACCAACTTGCACGGTACTCGCACATTATAGTTTTTTTTTAAAGTGGGACAAGCCCGCCACAACCTCTGAAAACCGCTGCAACTCCTGTAAGCCAGGATCTACAGTAGATACAACCATGAAAACACCGGAACATTGAAGTCCGTCGCATCGCAGGGACATTAACAACTGTCTTGGTTCCCGCAACGAAGTGAATCAGAAGATATTATAAGAGGAGAAGAAAAATAGTTATGTCGGCGCATTAGTATGGCCATCGACCATAGAGGCGGCGACGCGCGGGACGGGGTATAAAAACCCACGGCCGCGCGAGCGCCGCGCTTCTTCTTCATCGACACACGCCAGCCATAGCATTCGGGCATTTCTTTGTATCGGTGCGAGCCGGTCTTGATTCTGATATGTAATAATTAAACCTATTAATTGTGCAGTCTTCTGTTTTAATTTGAAATAACCCGACAGAGCTACGACAGTTATAATCTGTCTTTCTTTTATGATATAAGCCGGTAAACGAGCAGACGGATCACCTGATGGTAAGCAATCGGCGTCGCCCATGAACACCTGGAACACCAGAGGCGGTACAAGTGCGTTACCGGCCTTTTGGGGATTAGGAATTTGAGGATTGTTGGGGATTCAGGGATTGGAGAGATTGGGGAAGCAGGGGGAGGGGGATTGGACCTATGTCTGTCTTTAAAAGAGACAATGACTTCTGATTTTGTTTCGGCGTTTCTTTCCAGAATAGTCAGTTAGGAAATGCCGGCTCTCATCTTATAATTTAAAGATTGACGTGTAAAAGTGTTACTTTGTAACGTACTATATTTGCAGAAATAAATATTATTTCATTTCAACAATTTAAAAAAAAAAAATTAATCATGACCTTCCTTAACATGCAACTTAAAGTTGTAAGTTATAAACTCGTATCCATATCATTTGAATTTGACTGCACGCTTGGTTGGTGCAGTGGCTGTGCAACCGCCGCCCGGTTGCACAGCCACAGGTTACACACAGAGTTGATCCAGGCGGTTCAATTCCCGCCTGGATCAACTCTGTGTGTAACCCACAATTTGTTGTTTCAGGTCTGGGAGTGATGTCTTAACTTGTATGTTTGTAAACGCACCCACATCACAGGAGAAAATTTAGTGTGGGGCGACTTAAAAAAAACGTCACCCTAGCTTGAAGCAAACAGAAAAGAAAAACTTAAATAATACAAAGTCTAAAAGAATAATATCGCAAACAATACATATATATTAGAAGTCGTTATTATAATAATGCAGGTGTAGTGTCAGACAGACAGACAGACAGACAGACATCGTGTTAGTAACTACACAGTCAGCAGACGACAGCTCGTTACTTGTATTATACTATGCAACTAAACTATGTAGCAGTAAAAGTTAAGAAACTAAAAGATAGACATATTGTATTTTAAAAATATTATACATATTACTTTTTTATGCAATAGGGGGGAAACGAGCAGAAGGATCATATGAGGGTATATGATATACACCACTCATGGAGACCCGCAACACAGAGAAGTTACAGTTGCGTCGGAGCCTGACTCACGAAAGATAGGTGATCAGACTTAGGTACAATTAACTTAATATGAAGTTCCCAGTTCAATGTTGAGTTTTAATCCAAAAAATAAAATAGACTATACTAGGAGACATGTTGACAGAGTGGCCGCAAGTGTGACTGCCAGGCAAAGGGTCTCGGGTTCGATTCCCGGGTCGGGCAAAGTAATACTGGATTTAAAAAAAATCTTAGTAGTAGCACGGAGTCTGGAATTGTGCCCGGTATATGGCAATAGACTCACCCTCTATTACATGGGACTCATAACATAAATAGTGATTAGAGGGTGTTGCATTGTACAGTGGCATTAAGTGCCGTAATGTGCACCTCTGCCTACCCTTTCGGGGATAAAATGAGTGATTGTTAAGTTATGTCTTACAGAATAGCTCATGAAGATATTTGGAAGATTTGCCCATAAAATAACGCGTCGACGTCCATTACGCCCACACAACAAAACTATTTACATATAATGTGCATTGTACACCATAAAATTACTTCATACAAACACTATACAGTCTACGAACGACGTACGGAAGTGTAAACCTCTACCCATCCCTCAGAGAACAATAGCGAGATAGTTATTACAAGCTTACAGAAGCACGTCTGTACATACCGTATAAATAAAGTGTGTGTGTCTGTTTGTTTGTGGGTCTTTCACGGTCAAATAGAGCGATGAATGAACATTATATCTTAAGTGGAGATAGTTGAAAGAATGGAGAGTGACATTGGATACTTTTTATCTCTTTCTAACCCCCCAACTTCCCTAAAATTCGGGGTGGAAGTTTGTTAAGAGAATTTCAAAATCTTCATGATAGACAGCAAATAATTAGTATGGGGACTGTAATGAAACGCACGCAAGTTGGTTAAACACTGACTTTTATTCAAACACCCTCACATACAATTATCACGGAATATTGACATACCGTCACTAATATACTACATCTCTTCCTTTCCGAAAAGCAATGCCCAATGATTACTAACAACTACTTAAAATTAATGTTACATACATACTAACTAATGCTTATATCTAACTTACATAATAACACATAATTTTTCCTTATCTAATCTTATTTCTATAACCTATATCTATTCATTATATTGAAATAGATGATTCAGCATTCGTGCAGTTCTTTCTTTAGACCTTTCAATAGGTATCTCGTGAGGTGACGACGTACAAGACTGGTCTCGACTACCAACTGGACTTTCATGGTACTCGCTGTTCGCTGGGCTTGCCTGCGCCCGAGTAGGAACCACGGTGTTTTGCGACCCTGTGGATTCTGGCTTTCGTCTACGCCTACGATACCCTGCCATCGAGATCACACTTGGTAACTTGCAACTAAATTCATTATCAGATGGTTGTCTCACAGTTTCTCTAATTATTTCTGCTGACGAGGCCGTACGCGTTATCAACTGACTTCGAGTTCGCCGATACCGTCCACCACGTTCGTCTTCTACAATGTACGAGCGCGGTTGAGCTGCTTGTGCCACTACGGTCACCGGTTTCCTGGCGCCATTACACACTAAAGTTGCCCTATCCCCTTGAGATAGTCGCTTAAGGGTGTTTGCCGATTTATCGTAATTTATTTTGATTTGTTCCCTCTTTGACAAAATTGCTTTATAATTTTTTTCATTATCTACCCTCTCCGTTAGTAGTTTAGTACAGACCGGTAATCTAGTTTTCAGCCTTCTACCCATTAAAATCTGGGCAGGTGAGTCTAAGTCATGCCGCGGCGTAGTTCTGAAATTTAACAATGCTAAATTGAAATCTTGTCCCGAGTCTACACACTTCTTTAACATATTTTTAACTGTTTGCACTGTTCTTTCGCTTTTCCCGTTTGATTGTGGGTAATGCGGTGATGACGTTACATGCTGTATTTCCCATTCGCGCATAAACTTTTTAAATTCTTGTGAGTTATAAGCCGGACCGTTATCACTGACTAATTCTGCTGGTATACCATGCCTTGCAAACTGCTCTTTCATAAAAGAAATTACTTGCTTCGAGCTTATGCTCGTTAACTGTCCTACCTCAACGTAGTTTGAAAAGTAATCAACTAAAACAATGTAATTCTTTTTTTTATACTCGAACGTGTCCGATGCTAGCTTGTGCCATGGCAGTGCAGGCACGCTATGCTGCAGAAGCGGTTGACGTCGCGGGCGAGGCGCGTGCAGTGCGCAAGCTGCACACGTGCGCACGATGCGCTCGACATCGTCGCACATTCCCGGCCAAAACATTACATCGCGCGCGCGCCTTTTACACCGTTCTATACCTAAATGTCCTTCGTGAACTCGTGACAACATGTCTTCCCGTAAAGCACGAGGAATAAACACTAATTCGTCCTTAAAAATGATTCCGTCTACATAATGCATTTGCTCATGATATGGCCAGAAAGCGTTCACTCGTTCATTTACATCGCGCCTATTTTTAGGCCAGCCTTTTGTTATGTATTTAATCAACCATCGACAGTCACTATCTAAGTCCGTTTCTTTTTGAATGGCCTCCAATCGTGGTTGGCTAAAAGGTACATGTTCTAACATGAAACAAGTTTGTATCTCCACTTCTGTGGATACTTGATCATGCATTTTTTCCTTCAAAGGTGCCCTCGATAACGTGTCTGCTATATACATATTTTTGCCCGGCGTATATACTACTTTGAAGTCGTATCCTTGTACTCTCAACATCATTCTTTGTAGCCTAACTGGTACCGAAACCAGGGGTTTGTTAAATAATGCTTCTAGTGGCTTGTGGTCGGTGTTTACGGTGACGTCAGTTCTTCCATAAATATACTGCTTGAATCTTTCGATACCAAACACAATAGCTAGCATTTCTTTTTCGATCTGCGCGTATCTAGTCTGAGTGTCGGTGAGCGTAAGCGATGCAAACTCCACCGGACGATCATTTTGTAGTAGCACAGCGCCCAGCGCGACGCTAGACGCGTCCACTGATACCACTAACGGCGCACTGTCACTGTACAGCGCTAGCACCGGTGCACTACCTAGCTTTGCCTTTAGCCTATCCACTGCTTCTGAATGTTGAGATTCCCAAGACCACTCCGAATCTTTCTTTAATAACGACCTTAACACATTTACACTCTCTGAGTAATTAGGTATAAATTTAGCTAAATAATTTACCATGCCCAAAAACCTCTCGAGAGCCTTCCTATCAGTAGGATAGGGCATATCCATTATAGCTTTTACTTTGGAGTCGTCTGCCCGCATACCATTCGCGTCAAACTTGTGACCCAAGTAAGTAATTTCTGATACACCAAACTTGCATTTTTCGCGATTAAATTTTATGCCAATATCTTTAGCACGTCGCAGAAGACACTCTAATCTCTGGTTGTGCTCGTCTTTACTACGGCCCCATACAATTATGTCATCAATAAAAGATTCAACTCCTTCTAAATTTTCTAAATGCTGCCTAAGCTTCGCATGAAATACTTCTGGCGCACAGTTTATACCATATGGTAAACGCAGAAATTGGTATCGACCAAATGGTGTGCCAAACGTACAGAGATCAGCGCTCACATCGTCTATTTGAACCATCCAGAAACCACAGCGCGCATCTAACACGCTAAACACAGTAGCACCTCGCAAGCGCGCGGCCAGCTCCGGTACCGTCGGGAGCGAGTACTGCGCACGTTGCACCGCCCGGTTTAATGGTCGCGGATCTAAACAAACACGAATACTGCCATCTTTTTTCGCGACTAACACTATTGCATTTACCCATGAGGTTGGATGAGTGACCTTCCTAACTACGCCCAAATCTTCCATTCTACACAATTCCTCCTTTAATTTATCCTTAAGACCGAATGGAATTTTCCTAGTAGGACATATAACTGGTTGTACGTTTTTATCTATTACTATACTATATTTGCCAGGTAATTTTCCCAATCCTTGAAACAATTCATTATAGTTATCCAAATTGATTGTATTTATTTGATTTATTAATCCTAACGCAATACATCCCTCTAAACCGAGTACACTCTGACAAAACAAATCCACAACAACAAATGATAACACATAACTAGTTTTTCTAAACATAAAAGAAATCTTGCCAATACCTATAATTGATAACTGATTGCCTGTAAACGAATATACACGTTTTGTGAACGGTTTAAGGTCTGTAATAGATAACCCTAACTTCATATAATTTACTTTAGAGATAACATTAATCATTGATCCAGTATCTATTTTTAATAAAAGTTTTTTACCTTGACATTCTATAATTTCTGTCCATTCCAATGGCGACTTACATTGTTTTTTCTTATTATCTAAGGTGTTTATATAAAACCTTTGTTTCTGACTTTCTTCGTCACTGTCACTATTTACGGTTTCTACACTGAGATTTAACACTTTGCGAATCGATTTTGTATGCTTACACACTCGCGAAAAATGACCTTTCTTTTCACAAACATAACACTTTACGTCACACGCCGGACACCGCTCGCCACCGAGACACCGCACGCTGCCGCATCGCTCACAAGCGACAAGCGGCGCGCGCGCTGCTCGCGCTCCGCCGGCTCCGCGCCATCCTCCGGCGCGCCGCCCGCCTCGTGCTCTGCGGCCGCCTTGCACAGCATCCACTTGCACCCCCTCAGATGCACCGTCGATGCACTTACTCTCCTCCTTGGACATCTCTGCCGCCTGACAGATTTGTATCGCTTTGGATAGCGACAACTCGTCTGTGCGGAGAAGTCTATCTCTCACCGTATTGTTTACAATACCACACACAATCCTATCACGTAACAGGCTCTCGTGCAATTCACTGAACTCGCACTGCTGACTCAATACCCTCAACGCGGTTACATATTGATGGATGTTTTCACCCTCTTCCTGATCGCGTGAAAAGAATTTAAACCGCCGCACTGTGATATTTGGTTTCGTGCCGAAATATTTATCGAACTTCCTTAATACGCAATGAATGTCGTCTTCACTTTCACCTTCTTCAAACGTAAAAGTTGTAAAAGCCTCATAACCAGCTGATCCGATGAGGTTAACCAACAAACTAGCCTGAACTTCCTTAGGCTCTTTGCTCACTCCAGATGCTTTAAGGAAAACCTCGAACTGTTTCCGCCATTTATGCCACGCGTCGGACCGCGCGGCCGGACCACCGTCGAGCGATAATTCCACTGGAGGACGTGCGTGCTCCATATTTATTATTCTTGTATACAACGACACTTAGAATAATAGTTTATTGTTACTAAAATATCTTTTTAACCCGCAATTAATGTTAAAAAGATCCCACTTCTGACACCATGTAATGAAACGCACGCAAGTTGGTTAAACACTGACTTTTATTCAAACACCCTCACATACAATTATCACGGAATATTGACATACCGTCACTAATATACTACAGGGACTATTTATGACTACTAAAAAATCTGCCCCTCGACCCCTTAAAAGAGCGAAAGCGAAGCCGCGAGCAAAAGCAAGTACGTACACAAACTAGAGACATTGTCTGGAGGACGGAGTAATGAACATAAACTAATGAATATGTAAACTTAGTTACTGCCCGACATTAGGCGACTCCCTAACTCGGAACTGTTACATTGTCAGTTTATAATGTAATCAAATATAGTTTTGTAGTTAAAAAGTTGTTTATGACCCAACTCGGGAGTACAAGGATGGGTTCATTGAAGGGCCATAAAAATAAGTTAGACATGTTAGTCCAAAATTCGTTAACAATAGAGTATGCAGAGGAATGTTACATTATAAACAAATATTAGTCCCTCATCCAAATCTTCGTATTGTAACTGTCGTGAGATATAGTACATTATTTCTTATGTTTTTCGGCTTACTCACGTAACTGTTTGACGAGGAACGCTTGCTACTGTAGCAGCAGAACAGCCGCCGCGTCGTGTGTCGCGAAATATTGCTCATGGATGTGAGCCTATAGAAACCAGAGCGATCTACCCAGTGCAAAATCGTAAATCTTTAACCAAAGGTTTGCAGGCGGCAATTTACATTTTTTTGAGGATGGAAAATCTTCCAATGATTTCTCTTGCTTTAGGTGAGGCGAGAGACAGTGTCACTCTTACTGGCTAAACACCACCCCCACCCTGTTCCTTACTCCTGCTTCAAACAGGAGCCCCGGTAAGCCATTAAGTGTCCGCAGCTCCGGACTTCCTAATACACCTTAATGGTAGCCATCGTGATGTTAAGTTTAATTTACCTGTGAACAAAACAAAACACAATATTAGTTGTTATTTCAATACAAGCGAGGAGTACTACAAACTATTTTTTTATGGCATAAGCCGGTAAACGAGCAGACGGATCTCCTGATGGTACGCAATCAGCGCTGCCCTTGTACTCTTGGAACACTTGAAGCGGTTCAAGTGCGTTACCGGCCTTCTGGGGATTTGAGGCTTGTTGGGGAATCAGGGATTGGGAAGATTGGAGAATGGGGGGCATAAATTGGCCTCCGGTACCTACCTCAGTCACACCACGAAACACAACGGAACCTCATTCGATAGAATATAAGAATATATAGTTCTATTTTAGATGTTCTGAATAAAAGAATAGGATCTACATATATTTGCTTTCAATTGTAAGTCGAGCACGACTACCGAGCATGAGATCCGGAGTTCAATTTCCGGGTCGGGTTGAGTATAGTTGGGTTCTTTCAATTTGAATTTATGTAAGACGTATATAGTACTTACTATATTTACATCTAGATACTACGATCTTATCTTGATCGACTGTTCCGGTATAAATATAAAATTATGAAGTTCAAAGAAACGTGTATTTGTTAAACGACATAACAAAATTAGATTTATTTTATCATGTAAGGAAACAATATTTAGATAAAACGGATTTTCGGACGTTCCTATAAAACGTAGCAACTAGTGGCGTCACACGATATTTCAAATCAATATATCGTTGAGGGTATTTAATTTTGAGAGAAAATAATAAAATACGTGTGTAATGTTTAAAACGAACGTGTCGCGCTATTCCATTCCCGCACGGTACTACTGTTTGTGTGATCCACAAATTGTTGTTCTGGGTTGTTCGTCACAAATGTTTGAGACACAGGTGTAAAGCACCGTTAATAAAAATAATCTACCAGACGGACATTAAAAAAAAACATTGGAAACTTCAAGTAGTATGTTACAAAAGGTCCTCTTTAGAACCCCAACTCATCTTTTTATCCGGTAACCTCTGTACAATTACTCATTTTCTGTACAAATATTATGATATGTACGGCGCTGTGCCCCACAGGGCTGCCACAGGGCTCGCACATTGGGCCCGCGTCGCTCCACAGCGCGCGGTGACTTATGAAGTGTCGATAACACGTTAATGCGTTCAGACACGCGATTCTGAGCTTACAGGGTACGGTGTGACTGTCAGCGATGAAAACGATTAGCGGTGTGTAAATATGAACGTTACTATACTGACAGGCATGAACAATTAAAGCAATAGGCGTTTTACTAAATTATGCAAACATTTCAGTTATTGATAATTCATACAAGAGTGAATCGATGGCATTAGGCCGTGTAAAGTTCAATTAATTACACGCAAAAACCTTGTTATATTCGATAATGGTCATAACGATCGATATTTACAAACAAATTACTGATTAACGGGCATGAAACGTAATAAACCTTGACATATCAACATTTGGAATGACATAATTACATTCACTCATGATGACTGCTCGCTGTAACTGGCACCACACCCTAACATCCCTTAATCGCTGCCATTGCGAAAGAATAATTATTTCGTAAAACTTACGTCTTCAGACAAATTTCAACTCAATTTCTATAGACGCTGGGTATATTTTTCAGTAAATATTGAATCGTTATAGTAAAAAATTAGGACAATATTATATTGCATGGAATTTGAATGAAAATTAACAGAAATATACAAACTATACATTACTGTGCGAGCAGTCGGTAATTAAGAAATGTTTAGTTAGCCATTTTAATTAAAATTTATTCGTTGCTAGTTGTGTTCATGATATATTATTTATTTATTTAGGTAGGTAGGTAGGTACTTAATTTAGGAGCGTATATTTTGGAAATAAATAACATTAAATAAACTCAAGTGAGAGCCATGTTACGGCACTACTGGGCCGGCTCGACCGGAGTGATACCATGGCCGAGCAGAAAACCACAGTGAAACAACCAAAGCGTTGTGTTTCGTCGTATGAGTGAGCTTACCGTATAGGCCCAATTGTTGTTCCGTGTCTGGGTGTCATGTGTATGTGAACTTGTATGTTTGTAAACGCACCCACGACACAGGGGAAAATTCTAGTGTAGTGCAACTTTAAAAAAAGGTAAAACAAATGAGTCGCCCGCTTCTCATGCATGAGCGCGCGGGTTCGAAACCTATCAACGGCAAGTACCAATGACATTTTCTGAGTTGTATGTACTTTCTATGATTATTTAGACACCATTAACATATGGTGAAGGAAAACATAAGGAAACCTGAACTTACAATTTCTAATTATACCCGCATTGAGCAAGCGTCGTGATTAATGCTCAAACCTTCTCCGTGTGAGAAGAGGCTTTGCTCAGCAGTGGGCATTTATAGGCTGTAAATGTATGTGATGTGAAAACAAATGAAGAAACAAGCAGAAAGCGAAATAACACAGTTAAAAAAGAATGTATGTTTACTGCGCATAAGACACTTCAAGATAAACATTTTAAAATGATTCCTTCGTGAAAACGTAGAACATTTTCTACATTACGTAGACAAGCAAGGACCCGCGCGACACTTCACATCAAAGTCACAACTCGACAGAAGTGGCAACATTCATACTGTCCGTGTTTCATTTAAACTGAATTACATTTTTATATACATACTGTTGAGTTTCTAGAAACGTAATTTTAAAGTGATGTACTAAGATTATAATATTATTAGGGACCGATTTTTCCAACGCCAGATAAATGTTAACAGAAAAATAACTTTGAATATTTGACAATTCTTCCATCCTAAAAATTGTCAAATGTAAATTTTATTCTACAATTAAAAATTAACTGATAATTGAAAAATCGGCCCTTAAACTGTCAAACACCGCGAGGTCACCGGTGACCGCAACCTATTGTTCTTTAATTGTGTCTATAATGACGGTACTCAACGAGTTAAATGCATATTTACCAGTCCAAGTCAAGTGTGAGAGAGCCATGCTTCGGCACAAATGGGCCGGCTCGACCGGACTCAAATTCCTATTCCCCAAACGGCCGGTAACGCACTAACGCCTTTGGTGTCCGTCTGCAAGTTCCCCGTCTTATCCCACACACACATTTCATAGTCTAATTTATTTTTTCTATGGGTCGTTGTACACTATCTCGCATGTTGGCGCACTATGATGCGGTCTAAGATGGAGCACGTCTACCCATAAGCGACCTATTCACTCGGGCCTTGAAGACAGTTTAGTTCAGTTCACACATCAGTTCACTACTACCTCTAAATGTTCCAAATTATTTCTGTGCCCCAAACACTAGTGCAAAGCTAATCAGCTGACAATGTGTGCCTGCATTATACAGGATTACGTGACGCGAGCTAATGTGATGTGATTTGATGAGGTATTAACTGTGTACAGTCTGTACACAGATACAAATCAAGCTATGCAAACCAGTATAAACTGGCCTTTGAATATAAGGAAACATCTTACAAAGCGAGATCATGGTATGCTGGTTATGTATAACTGCATGTGTGTACGATGTAACTGTGTTGTGACGTAATCCGCGTAATTAATGATAACAGTATTAAGTGATCTGACGTCACTACTGTACGGGGAAGAGGTAATTAATATTATATGGAAGGTCTATTCTCGCCAACTATGTCTTACTCTAATATTATAAATGCGAAACTCTGTGTGTTTGTTTATATGTTTGTTACTTAATCACGGCAAAACGGCTGAAGGGGTCAGCATGAAATTTGGAACAGGGGTAGATTATGGTATTGAATAAAACATAGGCTACTTTTTATTCTACGGGAACACGGGCGAAGCCGCTGACGGTAGCTAATGTTATAAATTTCCAGTTACTTCCAGTTACTCTAATTGGTTTT